AGAGTGGGGCAGGGAAGGCCGCGCTGACCAGGTGCTGTGTAAACAGAGGTTTGAGCTGGGGGAGGCAGGGAGCCAGGCAGACAGGGGGGAAGCACAATTTGAGAGAGGGACAACAAAGTCCAGAGGGAAGAGCGAGAGGCCATGTGGTTGGAGGGGAAGGAGCAAGGGCCAGAGTATTGGCGATGAGATCAGGGGCACCCAGTGATTGGGGCAAAAGGCCTTGGGAGCCATGGCAAGGTTTCTGGATGCTTTCTGAGAGAAGGGGAAGCCACTGGAAGGTTTCAAGCACAGAACTTGAAATGAGACTAATAATAAAATGTCGATGTTGAAGTAGTGGATTGGGAACATAAGATGGGCGGAGCTCTGACACCCCTGTTCTGGTTGTTCCTTATCTGGGTCAGTGCAACACAAAGCCATTTATCTTTCCTGGGGAGAGTCCTGGTTCTGCTTGATGGCACCGCTCAGCTATGAGGAGGAGAGGACATTTTGAAACGGGAAGGAAGCTGAATTAAAATACTGTCCTTATGCACGTTAAAATACGGAAAAAAAATAATAAAATTTGTAGCTCAGGATCCTACATTCATTGTTTCTTAGGTTTGGTGGTTTCTTCCCAACTAGCTCTCCCCTGCACCCACCACCCAATTTGTGCTTAAAGGTCACTCACTCAAGGGGCTGATCCCCAGGCTCAGCTAGGTCCCCTTGTTATATGCTGCCTCTGCACCCTGGGCTTTTCCTTCATTGTACTCGTCAGTTTGTTTGTAATTGAGGATGTGATGATTTGTTGGTTCCCTCCCACACTTGGGGAGCTGATCTTTATTAAGTGCTTGCATAGGGCCCTTGCAAGGACCGCGCTAAGGGCTGTAGGAGCTAATCTCATAACCATGTGTGTGCTAAGTTCTGTTGTTATCCCCGCTTCCGGGTAAGCCAAGGCAAAGAGAAGCCAAGTGACTTGCCCCAAACCATTTGGTGAGTAGCAGAGCTGGGGCTCTAACTCAAGAGTCTGACTTCAGAGCCCCTGCTCTTCATCGACCACTACCCCATACATATTTGATACTAGAGGCTCCCGGTACGTCCTTGGCTCTCAGTAGGTGAAAAAACACTGACCGAAAGAAGACTTTTCTTAGACCACATCCTCATTCGAAGTTGATCCATCTTTGAGATTTGAACTTAGAGCGCCCTTCTCCAGCCATAATTTCTAGCTCAGGGTGGGTTAGTGTCAGGGACACCTGTTGCTCGGGCCCACGCACTTCACCCCGCCCACTGTGGGTACCAGGCCATTCTCAGTCTTTTCCCAGCAGGAGAGAAGGGCCATTCAACCCTTTCCTCGGTGGTGCTCTAGATCCCTCCCTCTCCTTCCTGGAGCCTCTAGTCTGGCAATCCCATTCTCACTCTCCTTATTCTGAAAAAAATGGCTTTGCATGTGGTAGCTATGTGACAGAGAGGCGACTCTTCCTCTTCAAGCCTTCGTTTCTTCACTTAGAAATACGGGTAACGTGGGATTTTAGCAAGGAGGCCGCCCAAGGGAAGCACTCAGCAGGGTGCCGGGCACACAGTGAGGACTCAATCTCAGTGGCTCCTAGGTTACAGAGGTTTCTGGAGAATCTAAAACATCCCCTAAACTGAAGCATTAATCTTTAATGGGAGACTCAACGCAAGCCGGCCACCCTTTTGCCATCTCTTTGGCACACTAAGTTATCGGATGTCTATTTCTAGCTTTCTTTCTAGCTGCTTAATTCCTCCTCAGCCTGTTAGTTTTTAATGGGCGTTCCTTTATTGCCTCTTAACACAGCTTAAGCATCCCGGGAAACATTTCCTACTCTTAAGATCTCTCTACCACCACGCTTGCAAACAACCACTAGCAGGCAGAGATTTCCTGAAAAAAGCACGGGAGGCAGAATCTTTATCCCACCGGTCACCGGGCGAGTCACTAACTAGGTGTCATGCTTTCTCATCTTCAATGGGGACAGCAATTCCTCCTCACAGGGTGCTGCAAAATGAAATGTGGTGGGGTATTTTTACAAGCAGTTCAATAATTATACATTTGCTCTTTTGTTCATTCATTCCTCCCTTCATTCTTGATTAGCAGCTCTAGTTAGAAAACGGCCAAGAGTCTGACTCCAGAATCTAGAGGCAGAGAAGGAGCAAATATAGAGAGCAAGTATCTCACCTCATAAATGAAGCTATCTATCACCCTATTAAACTGGAATTTATGATCTAAGTCATCCTTTCATATTCTCGGGTATAAAAACCAGTATCTTAATGTGACACAGCCAGCAGTCTTAGGCACTTTAACTTGGCATGAAATGATAACAATGAGTGTTGGGTGACTAGTAATAATTCAGGAGAAAAATTAATTTAAGCAGAACTGTGGCGGGAAGAGGATCCCCTTACCAATTAATTTAAGTGGAAACTTACTCTTGGAGCCAAAAGGTGGAGAGAATTTAATTCGATTCCCACGAGGCTAAGTGATTTACTCACAGTCACCAGCTTTTGACCTAAAATTTAGTAGGTATATTGCTCTAAGGAAATAGACCATACCAACTCATCAAAGTTTGAAGACAAGGAAATAAAATATGAAGTATAATATTAGCAGCAAGGCAAGATTATCCTTATTTATAGATGATACAGTTGTATACCGGCACAATCAATCAACGAAAAACTCAGAAAGTTTAGATGTTGGCTGTATCAAAAATAATCTGTAACAATAGGTTTTTGTTTTTGCTTTTTACAAACAGCCATTTAGAAACTATAACATCAAATACCAAGGAATAAACTTAGTAAGAAATGCCCTACCCCCTTTAGTATAACACTCTCATGAGGGATGTAAGACTTGAATAGAGACATAGTCCCCATTCTTGCAGAAGAACGTTAACTTCGTAAAACATAAGGTACTCCTAAACATTGTATAGGGCAAATGCAATGCCAATACAACTCCCAAAAGACTTCAAAACTTGGGGAGAAACTAGGCGAACGTTCTTAGAGTTCACCTCAAAGAACAATTGTTGAGGAGAAACATGAGCAATAAGCATTGACCTAAAGTATTAAGGAGGACCTCGAAAGTTAAAATATGCCAGTATAAAGCTCGAATGATTAAAATAGTAGGATGTAGGGCCACCTGGCTGGCTCAGTCGGTAGAGCATGCAACTATTGATTTAGGATTCTAAGTTCGAGCCCCATGTTGGGTGTAGAGATTACTTAAAGATAAAAATCTTTAAAAAAAAAGAAAGGAAGAAAGAAAGATAGATAAATAAATAATAGGATATAAATACAAGAAAAGACAGAATGGAAGTCCCAGAAGTACTGAGAATTTGGCATATGATACATGTGATATTTGAAATCAGCACAGAAGTTAGATGATTTAGTAGTATTGGGATGGCTAATTTATCACAGAAAATATGAGTTGAATTGTGTCCTCCAAGAAGATATAAAGTCCTAACCCCTGGTGCCTATGAATGTGATCTTATTTGGAAATAGCTTCTTTGCAGATCCAATCAAATTAAGATGAAGTCATACTGAACTAGAGTGGGCTCCAATCCAATGACTAGTGTCTTTATAGAGACAAAGATCTGGACACAGAGACACACAGGACAGAATGCCATGTGACAAGAGGCAGCGGCTGGAATGACACAGCTAAAATTCAAGGAAAGCTGAGGGTTGCCAGTTACCACCAGAGGCTAGGAATAGGCAAGGAAGGATCCCTCTAGAGCTTTCCAGTATAATCTAGCCCTGCCTCTGAATGGTGAGGGTGTACACTTCCATCGTCTTAAGCCACTCAAGTTCATGGTAATTTATTATGGCAGCTCTAGAAACCAAAATAATAATAAAGCTGGATCCCTACCTTACTGCTTATACAAAAAGAAAAAATCTAGAGGGATAAAAAAATTAAATGTAGAAATGAAATAAACAATGACCCCCAAATAACACAAGAAAATGTGGATAGAAGTTTGCATCTTCTAGGGAATTTCTTTAAAATGGAAGGAAAAGATGAATAAATTTGACTTTATAAACATTAAAAAACAAACAAAAAATAACATTTTAAACATCTGCAGGGTAAGAGGTAAGAAATTATAAAATAAATGTGTAATTCATGGCAGACAAAGGATACAGTCAAAAAAATAAAATAAACAGCCCCCAAAGAAATGCACAAAGGACAAGATTAGGCACTTAAATATAAATACCTAATATATAAAACATGCTCAACTTCACTAATTTTTAAAGAAATGCAAACACAAGTATTAAAATGGCTTACCCATACAACTGGTGGAAATTGAAACGACTGCTATCCTAATTAGCTAGGGCACAAAAACCAGGTACTCTATTCACATGTGGCTGGAGTATCTATAATTAGCACAATCCTTTTGGAGAGGAGTAACTTGTCTATTTCAACTATTTTCATATTTTTGCTTTTTCCTTTTCTAACTTGTATGCTCTTGTCTTATTTTTTATAATTTTCATACAGTAGATTAAATTCTGAAAAGATTTTTTTTTATGGAATATATATACTCATGTATTAGTTAAAAAAGCCATGAAGACATTGTTCCCCAAATAAGTGAGCATACTAGTTTCACCAAATCTCACTAGTATTTACTACTACATTTTTTCCCCCACTAATAGAATAAAATAGCATCTCATTTTAATCTGTATTTTTAAGTGAAGGGAAATGTTTCTCCCTGGTTAACGTACTCATAGAAGTTGTATTTTTAAAAAAATTCTTTGGTCAATTAATTCATTTGAATCTTAAAATTACTATCCTCTTAGTAATTCCCAAGAATTCCTTGTGTAATATAGAAATTAACTCTTGGCTTGCCTCTCTTTGGGGACCACATGCTTCTCAGGGTTCCCACCTACTCTACTGGCTTTGACCACTGTCTTTATGCTAGAGGACCCCTCAATCCTCAAGCTCTACAGAAACTCTGTTCTTTTTCCCCCTCCCCAAACAGCTTGGAACAGTGTTCTGTACACTGAGTGCTAAATATTAAAATACAGCCATAAAAGGACCATTTTTAAAGATTACATTGTTTTTAGGACTGTTTTAAAGATTAGATATGAATAATTAGAAAATAATTCTATAGTCTCAATGCATGGAAACAGGCAAATGCATAAAAAATACTAGGTTAACGGCCTGAGTGCTTGAATAAATGAGTACAAAAATGAATTTTAAATATACTTTATTTACAAGTCTCTAAATGAAATGTTCCATGAAAAATATCTACATGTTTCTATTTACATATTCCTTATTAAGTCTATTGATTTGAATTAGATTTTAAATTCAATTTTGGAAAGCTTTCAGGATTTCTTCTGAAAGTGACCATTTAAAAATACTATATATATAAAAAAAAATACTATATACATAGGGGCACCTGGATGGCTCAGTCAGTTAAGCATCCGGCTCTTGATTTTGGCTCAGGTTATGGCTTCAGGATCATGAAATCAAGCCCCGCATCAAATTCTGTGCTGGGTGTGGAGCCTGCTTAAGATTCTCTCTCGCTCTCCCTCTGCCCCTCATTCCCCCACTCATGCTCTCATGCTCTATTAAAAAAATATATATATATGTACAATATATATATATATATATATATATATATATATATATATATATATCTCGTAGAGTTCCAAAAACAAATACCAAGCTGAGACACAGAAACGAAAAAAAGTCTATTCTAGGTCTTGGAAGTGATTAGAAAGGACCCTGGGGTATCTCACCTACTATCATAAGAAGCAGGGTTCTTAAAAGAGTTTTCACTGTTAACTAACAGCCCACCTAGATGGAAAATTTCAAAAGCCTTTGCAGTTTTCAGACCAAATGTCACAGTGCCAAAGAGCCTCTTGGCAATTTATGTAAACCTAGATACTCTTACTTGGTTAATATCGACAAAGACACAATTTCTGAAAGAATGATCCTTTCGTGAAATCAAAGCGGAAAACCTGTTTGGGAAAAGCCGATCCTTCAAAGTTGGCACGTCTTCGTTGCCCTTAGGAAAACTCTTTGGAATCTGCTGTCAGTCTAGATAACCAATCAAGGATTCCTTAGCACTTTCGTCCACAAGCAGATCCACTAACACATGCGGCTTGTCGTAACCAAAGGAGGTGGTAGTGTTTCTCAGCACCACGCACTCCTGTCCTTCGGTCTTTATTTCAGTTTTATTATTTGGGGGAAATTCTGAGTCAGATAAGAAGCTGTCGGATTCCACAACGCCACTATCAGAACCATTTCTGGAGTGATAGGAGTTTAAGGTGACGACACAGGGTTCAGACTGGTTACTATTTGGATGGACAGAATTCTCTCTCATTCCTGGGGTCAGAGGACTACCAGAAGCCACGTCAGAAGTATTTTCTTCAGTGGTCACCACTTCTATTTCACCGGAAACGTCTTCTCGGTGTTCCGTTTTTCCTAGGTTGTCTTCAGTGGGCGTACCAAGTGTTGCTGGAGACAACTGCTCTTCCCAGACCATCTTCTCATTTTCTGGGGCAATCGGTTGGTAGGTGATGGGTGATATACATTTTGATTCAGATTTTGTCTCTGAAGAGGCATTTTTTACCACAGACAGCTAAGGGAAGAGAAACCAATGATTAAAAATAATAAATTATTAAACTTAAGTGCACATCCTTAAGAAGACATGGTCCAAGGGTAATGGACAATGAAATATACCACTAAACGGCAGATTTATGGTAACAATATAATAGCACCAGGTGGTTGCCTCTTCTTGCCTTTTAATGAAAATATACTATATTAAGTGCAAATGTTTTTAGGATTTTTAAAAAGTCATCCCCCATCTAATTAGTATGTGTTGCTTTTTCTCCATTACCTCCACATGTATGCACGTTACATTTGTAATGGGAGTATACCTACTTATATAATATTTTCACCATTCGCCTTCATAATTATAATTTTTATTAGAATTTTCACTGCCTCATATAATTTCTTTGTACTGATGATTAAAGTAATTTCTCTAACAGTGCATTTTGAAGTCTTTCAAATTTTTACTATATATAGAACATGTTGAAGTGAGTATCTTTTTATTTATGAGGATTTTTTTTTAAAGAATAAATTCTTAAAAGTAAAATACTAAGTCACAGGCTGTGGCTTTATTTACGGCACTACTACACTCTATACCCATTAAATGCTTCCCTTCCCACCAGGGCTGTATTACTTTTACCAGTATACACCAGTTTTACTACTACCGGTACTACTGGATATTCAGGTTTATTTTTCCTTCTCTAGTAGGTATAAAGTTGCATACTGCAAGGCTGCTTTGTGCTTGCTTACTTATCCTTAATTAGTAAGGACAAATACTATGAATTCATACATGAATTATCTACTACTGATAGTTTTTATTCACTTCACCAAAGGTAGTGTTTTCAAAACAAATTGAAATGTGTCCTTTGCACGTTATAGATATTATTCCTAACCTATTTCATTCAAACAATTACCATCCTGTTAGCTGTATATGTTCTTTTCATCATACAAAGGCTTTTGAATGTTGACATTAAAAGGTCAAACTGCTGGGGCGCCTGCGTGACTCAGTCAGTTAAGCATCCGACTCTTGATTTTGGCTCAGGTCATGATCGTGGGGTCCTGGGATCGAGCCCAGCATCAGGTTCCATGCTCAGCGGGGAATCTGCTTGAGGATTTCTCTCCCTCTTGCTCTGCTCCTCCCCCTGCTTATGCTGTCTCTCTCTCCCTCTCTCAAATAAATAAATAAATCTTTTTTAAAAAATGCCAAATTTCTGGTCTCACTTGTGGCCATCTTTCCTTCTACGCTCCAACCATAATGGTGTTTCTGTATTTTAGGATTTTCAAAAGCCATGCTTTCTTGATGCTGGGCTTTAGCACATGCTGTCCCTTAGTACCTGGATAAACTCCTGTCTGCCCTCTAGACGCTCAAACATCACTGCCTCTGGAAAGGCCACACGAAGCCCCATCCCCCAAAGGTGGACAAAGTCCTCACTGGCATGGATGTAAACCTCTATGTTTCAACACTGTACACCGACTCAATAGTTTTCTTCTCCCTAAACTTTAAGCTCCTTAAGAGACTTATCCAATTATGCTCTTGTTCCGTGCATAAAAAAGTACACAATGTGTAGTAAAAATTATGTGGTTTTGGATGTGTGGTAGATTGAGTGATTTATGATAGGTGACATGCTGCTGAATATCATTCTACTTAAAAAAAAATTTAAGAAAATTATCAAAAAGGTCCAAATAAATACTTTAGTGTATATAATTAAAGAAACATATTTAAATATGTTACCAAGGACTTGGGTAACATGATGCTCTCCCTCTTACACGGATTCATCTTCTTAGTGTAACAACAGACAAATACCAGGATAAGTACTAGAAAAAGTAGGAGAACAGCAACAACTGGAATCCAAATAGAATCTAAAAAAAAGGGAAAAATCGCAAGTTAGAATTAAGATGGAAATACTGCTATATCCATGAAATAGTATGAAGTCTTTAATAGATTTGCTCACTGGGTAATTAGTATGATCAGGGTTGCGAAGAACACTTGCCGCAGAAGTCGGGCAAGATGAAAAGAGCTTAGGTACACCTGTCCTAGACACTAAAAGGGCTCTTCCCAGCTCTGCCATTCTCTACCTTCTGCACCTATCCCTCCGTGATACAAAGTGGCTAAAACAGACTTCCATAACAATCTCCTTAAAACCCCCAACATAGGGTGCTTCCAGGGTTGCACTTTTCTCTCCGTTAAAAAGGCAAAAGAAAATTTTAAAAAATCCACCCCTTCAGAAATAAATTCTGACAATGACTATAACTCTTAAAATAGTTTAATCCCACTCCTCAGAATTTTGTTCCATTTTATATTTATTTGAAGATTGCAAATACAGACAGACACACAGCACGCACGGACAGGAAAGCTGCACAGGAATTAGGTGCCCTTAAATGCAAACCAGACATTATAACTTAAAATAAGAAAGATCTGTTTCAGAGCACATACATCTATAATCACTATTGTGTATTTCGCTCTAATGCTGCTTTTTATTTTCAAAGCACAATCTTCAGTATTCTATTTTCACAGTCCTCTCTTCTAAATTAACACTACTCTACGTATCATGGTGTTGTCTGGCCTCTTTACTGGCATTTTATTACCTTTAATTTCTATTCCAAAGTTACTTTTTTGGAATAGTCACTCTGGAAATGACGACTAAATGAACACGTGTATAACACCTATTACAGGATATGGAAAAAATGAAGTTATTACAACAGCAACGATAAAATCACTCCCTAACTGAGGCCAGCACTGTTTATTTTTATTTTTTTAAATCTTATTATGTTATGTTAGTCACCATACATCACTGGTTTTTGATGCAGTGATCCACGATCCATTGTTTCCGTATAACACCCAGTGCTCCATGCAGTACGTGCCCTCCTTAATACCCATCACCGGGCTAACCCATCCCCCCACCCCCCTCCCCTCTAAAACCCTCAGTTTGTTTCTCAGAGTCCATAGTCTCTCATGGTTCATCTCTCCCTCCAATCCCCCCCCCATTTTTCCCTTCCTTCTCCTAATGTCCTCCATTCTATTCCTTATGTTCCACAAATAAGTGAAACCATATGATAATTGACTTTCTCTGCTTGACTTATTTCACTTAGCATAATCTCCTCCAGTCCCAAGATATGGACCCTCAAATCTATGGTCAAATAATCTTTGACAAAGCAGGAAAAAAGACAGTCTCTTCAATAAATGGTGCTGGGAAAATTGGACAGCCACATGCAGAAGAATGAAACTCGACCATTCTCTAACACCATTCACAAAGATAAACTCAAAGTGGATGAAAGACCTCAATGTGAGACAGGAATCCATCAAAATCCTAGAGGACAACATAGGCAGTAACCTCTTTGACATCGGCCACAGCAACTTCTTTCAAGACACATGTCCAAAAGCTAGTGAAACAAAAGCAAAACTGAACTTTTGGGACTTCATCAAGATAAAAAGCTTCTGCACAGCAAAGGAAACAGTCAACAAAGAGGCAACCCACAGAATGGGAGAAGATATTTGCAAATGACACTACAGATAAAGGGCTGGTATCCAAGATCTATAAAGAACTTCTCAAACTCAACCCCCAAAAAACAAATAATCAAGTCAAAAAGTGGGCAGAAGACATGAACAGACACTTCTCTGAAGAAGACATACAAATGGCTAACAGACACATGAAAAAATGTTCATCATCATTAGCCATCAGGGAAATTCAAATCAAAAGCACACTGAGATAGCACCTTACACCAGTTAGAATGGCCAAAATGGACAGGGCAAGAAACGACAAATGTTGGAGAGGGTGTGGAGAAAGGGGAACCCTCTTACACTGTTGGTGGGAATGCAAGTTGGTGCAGCCACTTTGGAAAACAGTGTGGAGGTGCCTCAAAAATTTAAAAATAGAGCTACCCTATGACCCAGCAATTGCACTCCTGGGTATTTACCCCAAAGACACCGATGTAGTGAAAAGAAGGGCCATATGCACCCCAACGTTCAGAGCAGCAATGTCCGCAACAGCACTGTGTTTGGAACAGGGCACAGGTGGGCAGGGAATACTGCTTCTGGGCCACAGTGCTGCCACCATGTGGCCACAGTACCTGCCCAATTTATAATTCAGACTTAAAAAAAAAAATAAATCTGAGGCATTTGCATTATTTCAAATTTTGTGTATTAATTAGGATTTTATTTTTTCAAAATAACACAATGCAAGTTGGCATAATGGGATACTGGCATAATAATGGCATAAAAATAGCATAATAATGCACTGCATTATTTTAAGTCACATACTACTTGAAACCCTCGTTATAATAGCCTAAAAGTTATTAAGTTTCAGACATTTTGGTCTAATTCTTCAGCCTAGATTCCCGTTCTTCAAGAGGATATTTGTAGGGATGCCTGGGTGGCTCAGTCGGTTAGGCCTCTACCTATGGATCAGGTCATGATCCCAGGGCCCTGGGATGGAGTCCCGCATCGGGCTCCCTGCTCAGCGGGGGAGCCTGCTTCCCCCTCTGCCTCCCGCTGCCCCCCCTGCTTGTGCTCTCTCTCTGACAAACAAACAAATAAAATCTTTAAAAACAACAACAACAACAAAACAAAAAAGGGAGATATTTGTATCATAAAATTTTGGGGGGCGTCTGGGTGGTCCAGTCGGCTAAGTGTCTGACACGTGGTTTTAGCTCAGGTTGTGATCTCAGGGTTGTGAGACAGAGCCTCACTTCAGGCTCCATGCTCAGTGTGGAGTCGGCTTGAGATTCTCTCTCCCTCTGCCCCTCCCACTTGTGCTCTCTTCTCTCTAAGATAAATAAATCTTTAAAATAAATAAAAAATATATTCTAAAAACAGCCTCATAATTGGAAAAGATATATATACACAGTTATCAAAGCATGTTATCATAGAGAAAGTCATAAATAATCTGGAAGTCCCAAATTGGGAAACATTAAACAGAATACAAATTCTACATGATCAAACAGTCTACAGAGATTAAAAAATAATATTAATAAAGTATATGAATTAAAATGGAAAAATATTTATAATACATACTTAAAGCAGTACATAAAATTTTATGTACTATACAATATGATTGTGGCTATATAGAAAAAGAGAATGGGATGAGAAATAAACCCCAAACTGCAACTAAGTATTTGGATGACAGAACTACAGATAATTTTGATTTCTTCTGGCTTTTTATATTTTATAAATTATCTATAATGAACATTTAAATTTTGTAAGTGCAGAGAACAGGCCAAATTTTTGTTAAGGTACCTGCCACTTGAGAATATCAGTTCTAAAGTTCTATCATATGTATCCCCCCTACACACACAAAGAAAAGAAAATGAAACAAAATTATTTTTAAGTGTTATAAAAATAACCCATAACCTATCAACATTTATTTTGGATACTAATTTTCAGTGTTTGTCCAGTTCATGTCACACATGCCAATGAATATTTCTGCTATTCAATTTTTAAACTTACCATCCCCATAGAGAACATCTAATGGATACATAACATCTTACTATAAGGAAATAATAAACTGCTTTATATCACTACGTGTAATCCTGAAATGCAGACATTTAGGCATAGCGTTTTACGTATTATGTTTTCTTTCTTCCCTGGGTTCAAAGGTCATCACACAGCTTTCCAAATCGGTTGTTTTAGATCTCTTAATACCTGAGAAATGAGCTTATTTTTACCTTTGGACTTCTCTGAGAAATGGAACCACTTAATATTTTTAAAAGAACAGGGATTTACTGAAACTGCCTCTTTTCAATTACCCTATTTCAGTTATCCCTTCCTGTATTTAGGAAAAAACATCAGAAACTTGCCTTCCATGCGGTTATCATCAGAAGTGGTAATACAAAGTTCTTTGGACATCTCAGTTTTAACAGACCAATCTTTTGATTCCCCTTCTGCTGAAATACAGTAGTCAGAATTCAGGGAGGACACCGGGATAACGAGGTGGCACTGAGTCTCATTGCAATCATTTTCATTCTCTACTTTCATTTTATACGTGGTCTGTATGGGGAAAACAACAACAACATTGAAATTGCATTTTAGCATCTGTCCAACCAGCCAAAGGACATGCGTCGTCTGTGCCACAGAGCCCCTGGACACACGAAGGTAGGACAGTGGTGCCAGACCTCCTGCAACATCCCCCAGAGCAGAAAGAAATGTGAGCCACGAGTCCTGCGAAGGGACTATTATACGGAACCAGGAATGATCGAACCACAGAGGTGCCAACAGTGGATGGTGTGAGAAGAGAACTCAAAGTGGAGATGAAATGCCAGCTGAATACTGAAGAATGAGCAGAAAGTTGCCCAAGTGGAGAAGGTGGAGAGGGTGTTCTGGGAAATAGCACGGCACCTTCAGGGAACGAAGAACTAAAAGCAGTTCACCGCTGCACAAATAAAACTTAGGTTGGAAAGAACAGGGAGACAGGAAGCTGGAAAGGACACAAGCAGCCAAAATCACGAAGGCCTGGGAGGCCACGCCGTGAAAGGGGATTTAGATACTATTTTGTAGCTCATAGGGATTTGTGAAGGGATTTTAAGGAGTGAAGAAGGTTAGATGTGCACTTCGGAAGGACGACTCCACTAAGCATCCAGAGTGAGGTTTTAAAATCTAAGTCAGATGCTACTCTTCCTGCTAAAATTGTTCCAGAGCCGTAACGCCTTCATGAGAGTAACGTCAAATCTCTCCTGTGCCCCAAGAGATGTGGCCCCCCGTGACCTCTGACCTCATCTGCGCCTGCACTCTGCCCAGTGTGCTTCTGCCAGATTCTTTGTCTGAAACACCCTCCCCATCCAGATCCATGAAGGTCACCTCCTGCCCTCCTCCAGACCTGGTCCAGTAACACCTTCCCTGCTCTGACCACCCTACTGAAGATCACTACTGCCCCCAACCCTGCTGCCCATGCCCCCTCCCTGCTCTGTTTTGCTCCATCCACGAAGCACCGGAGCAGGGTCTGTACTGTTCACTGCTACCTGCTGGTGCCAGGAACACACAGAGCACACGCCTGACAAATACTATTAAATAAAGCAAGGGTGGCGCTGTGGAGAATGGATGGACTAGAATCATTCCAATCCAGGTGTGGTCTGCACACCAGTGCCAGAATGTAAGTACATCCCCACAGCAGAACCGCTAACTTTCTCTTTCAAAAACAAGGATTCCAATTATAGCTTCCTATTATTTTACATCACTACCCATGAGGAAGAAAAGATTAAAATGATCTTTGTCTTACCAGTGGAGAAATAGGAATAAACAGGTTTAAAATCCTAATATAGGGCCATGCTGTTAAATGAGGCCAAGACAAAACTTAAATGTATTCACCTGCCCAGCATTAGTGATTAACTCCAATCCCAACTCCCCTCAACAACATTTATTTATAGGCAAAATCTATGATCCATAAGTCCTGCCTGAGTATTCATAAGCATTGTATTTTCATTACACTACATATAGAGAAAACTTATGCTAGCAACAGAAAAACAGAACAAAGGAAATAGAAACACCGACCTTACTTCCATTTATTCTCAAATCCACCGTGTACATGAATATGTGACAATTATTTTCATCATAGATGGGTACTGGCTCTCTTCCACTTATATTAGTTAAAGGGTGAAATATGTCAATGATGATTTGGTTTTCCATCTTTCTGATACCCACTGCAGGTGGTCCGATGTTCCCTGGGAGGGGGGAAAGGGGGTAGGGACCCAAAAGAAGCAGAATTAGTACTGCCCCTGGAAATTTATAGCACGTTCCAGAAAACTTCCAAAATCAATCCATCAACGTACTCGCTCGGTTGTTCTAAAGCAGAACCGTGTTTAAACCATTCCACAAAGTATCGTCTAGATCTTTGTCCTTAATGTCCTTAATGTCCTTAATAAAGAAATATCCTTATCCCTTCTTTATTAAGGGAAGTATTTTTATCTAATCTAAACTCCTCTTTAACAGCTTCAATGCACTTCTCGTGCTAAAGGTAAACAGTTGGGTCACGAATCCTGTTAAAAAACGATGACATAACAGAAGCTCTCTTAAGTAATTCTTCCTTTTTCTGTGGGTCTGCAGATTAGAAAGAAAACCTATTCTCTAAAAAATGTTTCAGAAAAGGCATTTTAGTTACTTTTGAACACTCACTGAAACTCTCTGTATCGCCAATACCAATGGATGTCTGGCATGAAGGAAGGCTCTGAGGAAAGCTTGACAAATACATTGAATTTTTATGGTGCAAATCAAAACTAGACATTCATTCAACAAATATTTATTATGTGTCACCGATGCTTGAGACTTTGTTGGTGAGCCATTTACCTATTCTTCACGTATTTATTGCACACTTACTATGTGCCAGTCAGGTCTATGTTTATTTGCTAATTTATCCTCAGGGCCTGGTATACTTTCTAGCACACAGTATGCCCTTGATAAATCTGTATGGGAAAAATCTGATATACAGCTGGTATAGTTAACAGATGACAGGCATGGACTCTGGGACATAAAATTATTTCAAGGCAAGTAGAGGAAGAGCCTGTAAATAGGCACAATCTGAAAAGCAGAAGCAGAAGCAAGGCCGTGGTGGATGAAACCAAGCGTGGAGGCTGAGCAAGGAAGGAAGTGAAGGTGGAGGGCAAGGCACAAGGCCTTGAACACGAGGGAGGAGTCAAGTGACTAATTGCTTCTTTACCCACGAGTGAGGGTGTGAGAGCTACAGGGTAGGATTTCAGTCAGAGAAGGGGAATTGGCAATGAAGATTTTGGAGCTTGAGGTGATAACTAAGATCAGGTATACCGCAGGAATGCGCTGCTGGCAGGAGAAAGGGCTAAAAAAATCACTGGGGTTGAGGAGATTCTAGAAATCTAAAATTAGTTAATGTATTAAGTTGGTATATAAAATTCCCAGAGGCCTTGGGGACGAGGCACAGGGTGGAAGAGGGAGAGCTGTCCTCAGTGAGTGTAACTCAGCAGGGAGTGCTGCGAGGAGAGCGGGGAGAAGGCCACCACAGAGTCTACCTGGGCAGCACTGATCCGTGCTTGCAGGGAGTGGAATTGTAATGGTCTAGAAGTGGCAAAGTGATGGGTACCTCTTAGCCCTATTTTGTGGGGCTTGGGGAAAGAGGAAGAAATGCCTTTGGCATTGTGATAACTCTTAGCAAGTGCTAATAAAAGCAAATACGTACAGAAGACATGGGTAAGTATTTTCAAACTTAACATTTCAAATTTAAAAGTTCTACTCACCTTGTTTACATAAAATAAATTCTTTTGACTCTACATAGGCTGATTCTTTTTGTCCAAGCCTAGCTTTAATTCTGGCCCACAGAGAAAGTGATGGATCATTAATTACAGAAAAGATATTACAATAATGATGAGAGGTATTGCAGGCATCAATCCATATTGCTTCCCTAAAACAAAGAGGAATAAAGAAGCACAACGGTAACTTTTACTGTTAATATATAAACTTGAATCATCTCTGTCTCTGCTTTGCTTTTCATTTACAGCATGGAGCTGGTAGAAAGAGCTGAACAAGAATAGGATGGAGAAGCCAGACAAAGTAGGAAGTCCTAACTCTGGTTAGAAGTACTATAAATTCCTTTACAATAAAGAGGCTCAATTCAAAATATAACACCTGAACAAAGTACATTCCACATACGATTTTTAAAAATCTGATCTTTAAATAACTCTAGATTCTATTAACATAAATAATCATTACTTGACTGCAGAATCTAACACATTACAAAGACTCCTGACATTTGTCAAAAATTTTTTTTGAAATTTTTATCTTTCTATTCAACAATACATTCACTATGGAAAGTAAGAGGACATCATTATTTTTTTTTAAGATTTTATTTAGTTATGAGAGAGAGAGAGAAAGAGAGAGAGTGTGAGTGTAGGAACAGTGGAAGAAGGACAAGCAAACTCCATGCTGAGAGTAGAGCCCAACGTGGGGCTGGATCCCAGGACACCGAGACCACGACCTGAGCTGAAATCAAGAGTTGGATGCCCAACCAACTGAGCCATCCAGGCGCTCCGACATCATTACTTTTAATACAGAACTGTAAGTTTTATTTGTCATGCCTTTCAAAAATCTCTAATTCCTGGTGTGCCTGGGTGGCTCAGTCAGTTCAGTGTCTGACTCTTGATTTGGGGGCAGGTCATGATCTCAGGGTCCTGGGACTGAGTCCCATGTTGAGCTCCCTGCTCAGCGGGGAGTCTGCTGGAGGAATCTCTCTCTCTCTCTCTCTCCCCGTCCCTGCCCCCCAATAGCATGCACACACGCTCACTCCCTCTCTCTCAAATAAATAAATCTTTTAAAAGGTCTTGAAAGTTAGACTCCTCTACTTCAATTTTGACGGGAAGAAGAACTAAGAGGCAGGAAGTACTCTGAAGATAAATAATTTGCATCCTTAGCACTTCTGGAAGTCTACAAGCAGTTTAAGAAGTTCTGCCACATGGGAAAGAAAGATGATGGGAAAAAACACAAAGTTATGGAAAGTACAGAGACCTAGACAAAAACAGAATAAAAAAGATGAGAGAGTAACACTTACCCATAGTTCTTTACCTGTACAGTAAAAACAGGGGTCTGTGGCATGGTTGGGTAGTCCCAAAATAGGACAGTATTAAAGTTATAGGCCTCAAATTTAATATTGGTTGGTATCGGCACTGTAAGAGATTCAAAAAGTAAAATGGACAATTGTAAGAAACTCATATTAATATTAGAAAACTTTATAAGGAGCCTAGTTAGCCAAATATGTATTTTGAAGTAGAATTCACCAGGACAAAGAACATAATTACTTAAATTGAGATTTATAAAAATTAATTTTATTGGAAAATGTATAGTGTTCTGACCCATTTTAAATTCCTGAAACAACATTGTAGTATGAGAGAAATACAAATATAGTAGAGGCAATCAATCCCTATTATGTTTTAGGGGTTTTTATAAATAAATTCGCTGCCTGTTGTAATAATCATGCTCAATTCATTTAATCACTAGAATTTCCTGTATTTGATACCACAGATCGCCTTCAAAGGCTAGTAGTGGAGAACTGGCTACCCCCCAGCGATGGTCAATTTCATTCTAAAATACCCTATAGGCTGGAAGCCCTCTGCCTGGTATCATCACACACCTCAGCACCTTTTCTGTAACATAGGAATAGAAGCCTAAGCTGACCACCTTGTCAGTTTCATTAACATTTTGCTCTCTGGAGTGTGCAGGGCTTTTTACAAAACACACTCAATATTCTTGCCTTTGCTCTTTTAAACCATTTCAGAAACCATCTACTGAGGGTGCCTGGGTGGCTCAGTTGTTAAGCGTCTGCCTTCGGCTCAGGTCATGATCCCAGGGTCCTGGGATCGAGCACCACATCGGGCTCCCTGCTCTGCCGGAAGTCTGCTTCTCCCTCTCCCACTCCCCCTGCTTGTGTTCCTTCTCTCACTGTGTCTCTCTCTGTCAAATAAGTAAATAAATAAAATCTTTAAAAAAAAAAAAAAGAAAAAGAAAACGTGTACCGAGCTGTGAATCACACGAGAGAATGGGCAGAAGTCACTTCAACGTCTTGTAACTAGTTATTAAAAGCGGCCATATACTCCGCTGCTTAGGGGCAAAGGCTGCTGTCCACCACCCCTTGGGAAACACTCACACACATACATCTCCATTTCTCCTTTTCTCTCTCTCTCCCTCCTTCTTTCCATCCCTTCCTTCCCTTGTTTATGAATGAACATGAAGATACAGAGTTGGCGATATGACCCCAACTTCAAGATTATTCAATCCTACCTATCTGAAAACCATTAAACGTAATTTACAATTACAATGAAAATGAATGAATGGCAATGCGGTCAGGTACAGTGACTTCCAAACATATCATCAGCCTCAAAAATTCTGAGAGAGCCAAAAGCTGTGGGGTTTTTTTTGTTTTTTGTTTTTTTTAAGTTCCCCAGCACAGGGCACCTGGGTGGCTCAGTTGGTTAGGCATCCGGCTCTTGATTTAGGCTCAGGTCATGATCTCAGGGTCCTGGGATCGAGCCCCACATCTGGCTCTACGCTCTGTGCTCAGCGGGGAGTCTGCTTGAGATTCTCTTTCTCCCTTTGCACTTGTCCCTAGTGCTCTCTCTCTCTCTCTCAAATAAATATTTTAAAAAATATAAAAGTAAAAAAAATAAAAGTTCCCCAGCTGATAATGATGATTACTTGGGACTATATAAACTGGACTGTTCTAATAAGAAAAATATTCCCTGGGTTGGAGATTAAGAAATGTGGGTTCTTTCCTGGCTATACGATTAGTCATTTCAGATTTCCTAATCTGATATGTGAGGTGTTAATTTCACATACATACGGTATTTGCTTACTGTTGAAGGAAACACCTACTATATTTTCTCCCAAAGCAAAAACTCCAATATTCAAACCCAAACTGGTGCATTGCTTTAATTTACAATTATTTAACACTCGTATTATCTTTTTAAGGCAGAACACAGATTCAGAATTATTTAGGGAAAAAATATGAACTTGTGGACAATTAAATTCTACTGCCTTTTTCCTCCCTTTTCTGGTTACTTTTTTCCTTTGTATCAGTGGTTTTCAATAGGAAGCGATTTTTGTCTTGCAGGGGACATTTGGCACTGTCTAGAGACATTTTTCGTTCTCACAACTCGGTGATAGTGGTAGGCTGCTGCTGGCATCTCCAGAATAGAGGCCAAGGTTGCTAAGTATTGTAATAAATGCACAGGACAGCTCTCCACATTTTGGCAGTCCAAAATGCCAAGAGCGCTAAAGGTGAGGAACCCTGCTTCATATGTTCATGACTTTAGGAATTTTTTATTATTATTTAGGAGGAAAAACTGACTTAAAAACGGATTTTTTTTTTTTATAAACCAATATATTTCATAGCTTTCCCACAATGAATAGCTTTGGATACTGCCCAACTGTCTAACTTCTATAACTACTTATCAAAGCAATGTGACAATTTGGCCCAAAGGTTGAGATTATGAAACTGGGAGGATGTCTCACAGATTCAAACACTACATGCTTATAATATGCTCTTTCTGCAGCCTGTGATCAGACACCTACAAGTTTTCTATTTACTGTTCCTGAAATACTGCTGACAGCTGTTGGTACCTAGCATCTTTGGTTCTCTAAGCAATTTCTTTGCAGGTGAGCCAGAAACCACTGGTCTTGGCAGATTTAGCCCTGGTTCTTCTCTTTGGGTTTTGGTAGAGTTCCCATGGCCTTACTTAGCAGGGTGTACTGAGGCTTTCTTTTTCTAGGTTTCTTTAGATATGTTTTCATATGTTTGCACCTCAACTTCAAGAAACGACCTACTCTCAAACAGCTTATAGTCTGTGAGGAGGAAATACAAGGCACCACCCTCATCCCCCAGGTTCAAGTCAACATCAATATCAAATAACATTCACATAGGGGCACCTGGGTGGCTCAGTCAGTTAAGCATCTGACCTTCGGCTCAGGTCATGAGCCCAAGGTCCTGGGATCAATCCCTATGGCCCCCTGCCCCATCCCCTGCTCATGCTTGCTTGCGTGTGTGTGCTCTCTCTCTCTCTCAAATAAAATCTTTAGTAAAAAAAAATAATATTCACACAGATAAACATTATTTTCAACCAGATGAGAGGAACCTGATGCTAAGAAAACTCACAATGAATGCGAACTTCTCTCAAAAGCCATCTCTTAACTTTAGCATCTTTTGCTTCTCCAGAGGCTGAGAATTTTCAAACCTTCTGGTCCTAGTTCCTTTTTGTTTAACAGTCCTTCTCTTGGTTACTCTTTCTAGTCTTGAATTTTAACTACAAAAAGCAAGAAGAAACCACGTGGCACCTTCAGCACTGCTTGGCAACCTCTCTGGCTAGGTCTAGAAGCTCAGCAGGCACATTTCCTATTCTTCCTGTTACCAAAGGCAACAGTGTTGCTAAACTTACTGCCTCTGGTAACAAGAACCTGCCTTCTTCCAGTTTCCAGTAATGAGGAGTTCTTCACTGCCTTTTAAGTCTCTTTAAAAAAAAAATTATTCCCAATAGGAATGACTTTTTAATTGTATAGACTCGGGCTGAGATTCCTGTATTTGAGGAAAAGGCATATAGAATATTAAATAAAGTGCATTTACGTTTAAGAAGAGGTTACTGAATCATAGTTATAAAACCACAAAGTAGATTTGCACATTAGATTAGTTTTTAATGTGAATCAAATGATGTTTCCCATAATTTAAGTTAAAGCTTGACCTGGTTAGATTAGAACTAGGGCTTAAATCACAGCTTTCAAAGCAATCAAGACAGGTCGTGGGAGGAGGAGGTTTCAATGGATACTAACAGACTTTACCATTCTATTAAAGGAGAAACTTTGAATATATACACCAAAGGATGTAGCCTGTGGTTTTAATACTACCAGAAGAGAAACCATGTGGTTATTACACATCTGCCTTTGTCACTTTCTGCAAAACTCACATGATAAATAGACAGGAGTAGCTTTCTATTGTTTCAGAATTTTGTGACCTAAAGTTTAAATTGTTTTATACTCAAATTAAAATAATTAAGGCTTACAGAAAACTTCCATCCAAAATAAATTTACCTATGTCAATAAAAATATGTGTAGAATAGCAAGAAAGGATTATCTGTGGAGTTTAAGGAAAGATCCTACTAGAGTATCTCATCAAATAAAATAATCTTACAGATTTCTCCATCTCTTGAAAATGATACAGATAGTTTTCTGTAACTCATGTTGTTTTGGAAATGAGTTCCGTTATTTGGTGCATGCTATCTAGAATAAACATTCACTTTTCAAATCTGCTTCTCAGAATGTCTCTAGAACAGCTGAGGCTTTAACAAAACCAAACACAGTAAAGAACAATCAGTTTTTTATAACACTCTACAATGCAGGGGGTGGGGGAAGGAGAGTTCTGGTTACAACTGTTTCCTCTTGATAAACTGGGAGAGACAGGATATGAAAAAAAAGCAAGGAAGAGGACAGAAAAACTGATGAAGATCAGTATGTGAGGTGAAGAAGCAAACCTCAGCCAGAAAGAACAGCTCTGTTGTAACTGCTGGTGAAGCAAGGAACTACAGACATCTCCAGATATCCTCTGCATGGATGATGACCGGGGTACGGGCTGCCCCGTGTCCTCCATCCCATAACCACCAAAGGCATCTGTGCCTCTACTACAAAAGGGACAGCCACAGAAGTTCTTCCCCAATTTTAACATAATCGCCTACAAAGGCTGTATAAAAGATAGGTACATCTACCAAAGAGCAGAGCTCTGGGGTCTGCAGACACCATCCGACAATCTGCTTACCCACCTCTCTATGGGAAAGGACTAAGGATAAAGGGGCCAGCAATCAAATTGTGTCAGGGCATTCTAAGCCATCTGACACTACAGCTCAAAAAGAAATGCTCCAAATTAAAGCATTCAGACCCTTTTGTGAATGAACAACTCAGAGAAAAGCTCTAACACCTTCCCCCTAGTGAAAGATGCAGGTAGGGCCATGGGTATGTTTACAAAGGTTTCTTCTTTCATTGCAAACTGAGAAATGGCATGAGAAATCCAGGGAGGAAAAGGGGGAAATACCAAACCAAGACTTCTGCAATTTTTTTTTTCTGAATAGTTTTATGATCACAATCTACACCTCCTGAATGGTTTTATAGTGTTGATAAAATAGTTATTTTCTTAATGCCTTCCAAATTTTTCTCTTAGCAAGCAGCGGTGTCTTCTAGATTTAAGATGAATAAAGACATTTTGAGAATTCTTGCACATGTTTCAAATGTTCATACAAGTTTTTTCATTAAAACACTTCAATATTTTCCAGCTTTCAATCGTCCATCACTTTGTGAGATGAATACAAAAATCTATTTTCTACTTCTATTATTTTCTTATACCTTTAGAAGAGATTCAGAGCTAAGGGTTCAAATAATAAAATTATTATCATAAATAATAAAATAATAAATTATTACTTTCCATAAAGTAGTTCCTTAGCTGGGTCAAAACCGTTACTATGTCTGCAGTCTTCCCTTCTTCCTGTTTGTTTTCAGGATTTATTCTGATTTTATCACGCACTCTCTTAAGTTGTGGAGCCCAGAATATAACAGACATGAATGAAATATTTTCCTTCCTCTTTTTTTAAAGAGATGGACATATCAAATAGTGGCTTATGCTGAATTTGTAATTAACTAAAATCCCCCCAGATCTTTTACTCAAACCACCAAGTTAGAGCTTATCCAATAAACATCTGCTTAGCCACTTTCTGACCTAAAACGCAGGATTTTTATATGTGCTCCTATTTATTCAATTTTATCTAGTTGGGTCTGCTTGGCATGCCAATAAATTCTAATTGGACCAGACCCACCTAGTCCCTGAGAGAAGTCATTTCTCAAGACTAATTCCCATTTGGACTAATTCACTCCAAGTTGAGAAATGGTTGAGAAATAGGAACTGAAAAACTAGAGTCTTTTTCAGTCTACGAAAAACAGAGGAAAGGTAGAAGAACAAGTTAGTTGCTGAATCTATTTTAAATTTCTCATACTGATTTGGATGAGTTTTTTTTTTTTTTTAAAGGCACCACAATCTCTCATATACAACCACAACAATTTAATATTTTAAAACATATTTGTTAAAATAAGTAACAATGAACATCATTGAATGGTAATCACTAACGTGTAGATTAAACATTTACTAAAAGACAAGCAATGTTGCTCCAATGTTACGTAATGCCCCAACGAACCAACACAAACCATTCTAGGAGGGAGGTGGTATTATTATACATATCTTTACCGATGAACGAACAAAGGCTTAGAGAAGCTATTTAAAGACTCAGCAGTCTATAAAGGTTTGTTGGTTTTAGTTAAGAAAAGCTACTTAGGCATCATTTTTGTGATAGTTCAACAAAATAAGAAAATGACCTCCATATATTAATAGGAATTGGAAATGATTATTTTCTGATGACGTCACAAGCACCTAATTCAAGTAGTTTTGCCTGATTTATTATACTATCACAATTATATGATGACCTCTTCAAAATCGGAACAATGCATTAAAGGAAATCATTTCTTTGGAATGGACATGACTGAAATGGCTATCGGAAAAGAGACTTTCTCCACTTTATCAGTGGACAAGGCAACTTGAGAGCCCCACGTCTATGTGAGAAAGTACAGCGTGCTCTTGAGTATTACTAATACCCAGAGTGGAAGAGCAAACAGCAAGAAGGCAGACACTGCTTCACTTAAAAATATATATATACTGCTTTTATAGGTAAAACTGGATGAAAAGCGAAATATCCGATTATTAGACAGCACACATGGGTTTATTTTCCCTATCCATTCACTAAGAAATACTAACAAAAGCCCATCACTGTGGCACGATACATTCCCAACCACTCGGGACTTTGCAGAGACTGACTATGTTCTCTTGCCTGCTTCCCTGTTCCCACCAGGTTCCCTCATCTAAGATGAACGATCAAGCACACAGTGAAAGCCAGCACTGAAAGAACTAACACACCGAGGGCCTAGTCGATGTCAGGCACTAGCGAGACAAGGAAGCCAGCCAAGGGCCAGAAGCAGGTTGTCCTTGAGGGTGTTCCCTCAAGGAGACTTTATACTTTAACTTTAAAAGCATAGGGAACACAACACAAGCTAGAGAAATACACTGAAAAGTCTAGACAAATGTATTGAAAATGCACTGAAAAAAGGAGCGGCGGGGGTTCACTGGCACTTGTGTTTACAAAATGCTGGAGTACAAAAGGCCACAGAAGATGTTCCCATGGGAGCAGACAGGCACTACTCCCAGAGCTGGCTTCAGGGATGTGCAAACTGTGTAATCACAAGAGGCCCCACATTGTTCTAGGTGTTGGGAATACAAACATTTCTGCTTTCAAGGATCATGATTATGTAGCTAACAGTTACTAAGCCCTAGGCACTGCTGTTAACTTTTCACATCTCATTTTCACAACAGCCAGTATTTCCATTAATGGATGAGAAATCGAGGCACAAAGAGGTCTGCCCAGTTTGTACAGAGGTCACTGCTACTCAGTAGGGAGCCGGAAGCTGGGCTCCGGAGTCCAAGTTCTTAACCGCTCTGCAGACTGCCATTACCTAGAGCAAGTTAGTCATCTACAAGGCCAATTGCAGTACATTGTGGTAAGAGCCTGGACTTCTGCACAGGCTGCTGGAAATTAAGCTAGGGGTACCTGGCTTAGGAGGACCCCGTCTGTACTCAGAAGGGCATGGCACATGGTTTAATGCTCTACCTAAACCAGGAATCCGAGCCATCCTCTTCCCACACCCAGTCACTAACTCCTGCTGACTCTGCCTTTTAAATGTTCTTCAAACCAAACTGTCCTCTCTTCTGCATTTAAACTGCCATTTTCATTGACTCATCCCAACTTAAGCAGTTAACTTAACTGGCCTCCTTCCTTCGAGTCTACCCCCAAACTATTGTGTAAGATGAATGGTCTTTCTAAATGGCCTAACCGATCCTGCATAAAATCATTTCTCCTCTTCAAATAATCCACTGACCACCCACCAAGCAGAGCAAGGTAGAGTGAACATCCTTACTTTGGTGGCCTAGCACCTGTACTTCCTTCAGGAGTAGTTCTCTTCTGGAAACTCCCCTATCGCCACCTCCTGCAACATGGTCCTTCCCCGGCAAGCTGGTGCCTGACCCAGGGGTGCCAATCAGAGCCTTCTCCTGGGATTTTGTTAGGATGGCGGAAGCTGCAAGATGCAAAGCCCAAAAGTTGTCCACATCCATGATTCCTGCCAAGCAGGAAAAGCTGTCCACACCCAGAGTCGGTAATAAGAAATAGTCTTTGCACTTTTGAGTGACTGGTTCAGCTTTCTGAGGCCCAGGTGATATCTCTACCTTTCTAACTCTTGCTTGGATTCTCTAAGCCAATAAATCCCCTGATTTGCCTATATTGGCTAATGTTATGTTGCTGTCCTTCGCTGTTTGTTACACATGACAAGGCACTTCATTTACTGGGTTCCTACCTCTCTACCTATCTTATCTCCCCTTGTATCCTCACACACATATTCTACAATGAAACCCTGAGTATTCCACTAATTCAACATGCTGTTTCACACCTCTCCCTCTGCTCACACAAGTCTCTCTGTACCTCCAGCTCCTCTGGGGTTATTACCTTTCTCTGTGAAGTCCTTCCTGATTCCCCTGGTCATACCCAGGTACCTCTATCTTGCTTTTCCAGTAGCCTATGCGGAAGTCCAGGCTCTTATCACAATGTACTGCAATTGCCCTTGTAGATGACTAACTTGCTCTAGGTAATGGCAGCCTGCAGAGCAGTTAACTTGACCTCTGGAGCCCAACTGCAGGCTCCCTTACTGAGTAGCAATGACTGCTCTACGAACGGGGCAGACCTCCTTGTGCCTCGATTTCTCATCCATTAATGGAGATAACGGTTGTTGCGAAAATGAGATGTGATAAGTTAACAGCGGTGCCTAGGGCTTAGTAACTGTTAGCTATGTAATCGTGATCCTTGAAAGCAGAAACTGAGTAACTCCCATTTTTGTATTCTCAACATCTGGAACAATGTCTGTCCCAAGGAAAGACTAAGTATTTGTCTGCTTGCCTCTTTTTTTTTTATTAGAGAGCGAGCGAGAGAGAAACAGCATGAGAGAGGAGAGGGTCAGAAGGAGAAGCAGGCTCCCCGCTGAGCCGGGAGCCCGATGTGGGACTCGATCCCAGGACTCTGGGATCATGACCTGAGCCGAAGGCAGTCGCTTAACCAACTGAGCCACCCAGGCGCCCTGTCTGCTTGCCTCTTAAAGAGCAAGCCAAAGGACAGGTGGATATGAATGCAGCACCCCTAACTGGAGCACACAGACGAAGTCATAATATAGAGGTTCGGACCCAGATTTTGCCAAGGATGCAGAAGGTGGGGCCTCCCCGACCCCTGCCAGGCAACTGCTAACTGTGGATACTGAGCAGACACTCAAGACTGAGGGGTTTCTGATGCTTTAGGTTTAACCCTCTTGTAGAAGAGATTCACGTATTTCACTGGGGCTCCTAATCACCATGACAACCGAGCTTTGGAAACCGTATTCCCTGCATTTATTTCCGGGGAAATCTCAGTGAGCAGGCGGAACTAACGAGCTCCGAGGAACTAAGCTAAGAGATGTAGAGCCTGACAAATCGCCCGAGTGCACGCCGCACGGCTGCCAGACTTAGACGTAAGATGACCAATCCCTGCCACTTAAGGATTCTCATAATGGGGGGAGAACAACTTCTCTCTTACGGATTTTGGGTTTACCCTAAAAATATTTAAGTCACGAGCGCTGGCCACACTGTCCCAATGCTGACCGAGAAACTCACTTAGTTAAAAATGAATTAAAAGAACTGGAAGACCGAAAGGCTGTTTTGTCGTTTCGGCAACAACGGAAGAGCCGAGAGAAAGGGAACTGAAGTCCGCTGACCGCGGACGCCAGGAGTGGCCTTCCCCGCGGCCGCCCACGCAGACGTCCCGCGGGCTCCGGGAACCCCGCGCTAGGTCCCGGGTCAACGAGGCCGCGACCCCGCGGGGCCGTGCTTCCAGACCCGGGCGACTCCCTCCCCAGTCCCATCCCCAGCCGGCCGCCGCCCCCCCACGAGCGACGTACCCGAAGACAGCTCCAGATCCGCGGGGCTCATCGCAGCCCAGCTCCCGGCCTGCAAGACGAGGAGGAACAGAAGTTGCAGAGCCATGCTGCCCGGGGTTGACTCAGGGTGCGGCCCTGAGAGAATGCGGGCGTCCAGCCTGGAGCCGGAGCCTCGCGTCACTTCCGGACCAGCGGACCAGCGCCCCAAGGCGAGGCCGGGCGTGCACGCAGTGGCGGGGCCCGGGCGGGGAGGCGGGGCCAGAGCCGTGAGGCGGGGCCCGGGCGGGGAGGCGGGGCCAGAGCCGTGAGGCGGGGCCCGGGCGGGGAGGCGGGGCCAGAGCCGTGAGGCGGGGCCCGGGCGGGGAGGCGGGGCCAGAGCCGTGAGGCGGGGCCCGGGCGGGGAGGCGGGGCCAGAGCCGTGAGGCGGGGCCCGGGCGGGGAGGCGGGGCCAGAGCCGTGAGGCGGGGCCCGGGCGGGGAGGCGGGGCCAGAGCCGTGAGGCGGGGCCCGGGCGGGGAGGCGGGGCCAGAGCCGTGAGGCGGGGCCCGGGCGGGGAGGCGGGGCCAGAGCCGTGAGGCGGGGCCAGGGCGGGGAGGCGGGGCCAGAGCCGTGAGGCGTGGTCAGGGCATGATCCCGGGGCTGGAGGCTGGGAACCGGGACGTGAGCGGCTGGGAACCGGGACGTGAGCGGGCAGACGGGAAGAGGGGCTGCCAAACCGGGCGTTGGCTGGGAGGCAAGACTAGGACGGGAAGGCCAGGAGAGGCCGGCTCCAAGGGCTCCTGGAGGCGTTAAGAGCGTGAAAGTCTGTGGTCGTGACAAGGGCTCACAGGTTTATGAGGAACTTGGATCCAAAGGTTAGGTTCTTTCGATTTGGCAACACCTTCTGCGATTCTTCTTCCTGTTTTTACAGTGTTCGGGGGTTGCGGAACTTTTCCTGAGGCCGCAACCGAGCCACGATCCTTACTTTAACCCTGTTAGACTTCGCCATCAAGGCGTCTGGAAGCCTGAGAGTTTAGAACAGGAAGAACCCTAAATGCCTTCTCTAATCCTGCATTTGTGTTTGAGGAAACTAAAGCTTCAGTGGTGAAACAGTTTGTGCAGACTTCCACAGCCTACACAGAACTGGCTTGGCCAAGAACTACTTCATCCTTGGAGGAAAAGCAACTTGTGTTATCTTTTCAGTGATTAAGGATCACGTAGCGATTTATTAAGCAGCCTCTCATCGTGTGATCTGCCCTGTTTCCTCCCTGACCATATTACTCGGCATTTCTCACAATCCTGTTCAGCCAAATGGCCTCTGCCTTCCTAGAGCACTCCAGGCTTGTGCTCAGATATGTATACGGCTAACTACCTCACCTGCCTCAAGTATCTTCTTATCATGGCTCTGCAGAATTTGAAATCACAACCCAGCTTCTCTCACCTTACCTTATCCTGCCCTACTAATTTTTCATGGCACTTTCCTTATCCCACACGCTCTGATAACGTGCCTATCGATGTTTATTTTCTCCTCCTTCTGGAATGTAAGCTCCATCACCCTGAAATCTTTGACACTTGGTTGGTATTTGTTGAATAAAGGAATGCATGATTACGCTAGCATTAAGCAAAATTTTAAGGAGAAAAAAGTTAAGATGCTGTACAAACTAGAAAGGAATTATTAACAGGATCTTTTTTTTATATTAATAAATCTCTTACCTCAGTACTTCTGAAACTTCAATGAACATGTGAACCACTTGAGGATCTTGTTAAAATGCAGATTCTAATTCAATTGGTCTGATTCAGTTGGGCCTTGAGACTCTGCATTTGTAACAATATACAGAGAATGCCAGTGCCATTGGCTCTAAGACCACACTGAATAGGGATGCTTTACCTCTATCTAGACCAAGTTTTGGGGAATACCTTGGTATTTATGATGCCCACTGTCTTTGTTCAGGCTGCTTTAACAAAATACCACAGACTGAGTAGCTTATAAGCAACAGAATTTCATTTCCCGAAGTCTGGAGGCTTGAAGTCAAAGATCAAAGTGCCAGCATTATCAGGTGAGGGCTGTCTTCTGGGTTGGAGACTTCTAGTTGTGCCCTCACATGATGGGAGAGGGAGTGAGCTCTCTGGAGCCTCTTTTACAAGGGTGCTAATCCAATTCATGAGGTTTCCATCAAGACTTAAGCATTTCCCAAAGGCCACATTTCCTAATACCATCCCTTTTGGGAGTTAGAATTTCAACATATGAATTTTGGGGGGACACAAACATTCAAACAATAGCACTCACTACATGAAAGGCGCCTGGTCATTGCAAGAATGCCAGAATGAATAAGAACTGATCTTTGCTCGAGTAGGACAGAACATAATATTTAATTCAGTTCAATAGGGGCTCCTGGGTGGCTCAGTTGTTAAGCGTCTGCCTTCGGCTCAGGTCATGATCCTAGGGTCCTGGGATCGAGCCCTCCATCGGGCTCCCTGCTCAGCAGGAAGCCTGCTTCTCCCTCTCCCGCTCCTCCTGCTTGTGTTCCCTCTCTGGCTGTCTCTCTCTGTCAAATAAATATATAAATAAATTGAATTCAGTTCAGTAAACATTTTTTAGTAGCCATCACAGGGTGGGTTACCCATGAGGTCGACTCTGCAGGGGTGATTAGCACGTAAGACATGCTGTTATGTGCTCTTGGGATCAACCTCTGTGAAAGGAGGTGGAAGAAATAGAATTGAGCAGAGGGAGAGACTGATCTGTGATGTCATCCTAACAAAGGCTTCAGCTGACCCCTTGGAACTGGGATAGTCTTTTAGAGGTATCATGAGTTGATAGGAGTGGATGGCCCTTCAACTCCCAACATTGATTTGTCATTGCATACAAACCACCCCTGAAAGGGGACATGATTTGGGCTTCTCCATTACTTTAACTGAGGCATTATCCAAAGAATGCTGATAGTTAAGGGTTTTTACCAGCAGTACTCCCAACAGCAAAGAGGGGAATGAGGCTAAATCTTCTGTTCTTAAAGGGGATTGTGGGCAGAACTTCATAATCAGCATTCACGATAGTACCTGTCCTGAGGCACCTTTCTAGTCACTTGGAGACTAAGGATATTTATTAATTTGCTAAATATTATTGGGTGCCACCACTCTGTATATATAACTCTGTACACATTGAGATACTGAGCTGAGTAAGGGAGATACGGCCCCTGCCTTCATGGTGCTTACAGTCTATGAGGGATTAAACAAGTTTTAATCAAACTGTTACATAAATAAATACTGAAATTGTGGTAATCCTTATCAAGGAGAACAATGGATTTATAGGAGAGTAAACAGAAACTTAGTGTAGTCTAAGTTTTAAGGAAATTCTTTCTTAAGGCAGTTATAATTATACCATGACCTGAAGGATAAGAAGGAATTAGTTTGGACAAAACTGAGGCATTGGGGCTCACAAGCTAGTAAGAGAGGTAGGAGGATGATCAATAAAATATACTTTAAACTCCAATATATAAATCTTATAGAGCCACACAGAAGGCAAATGAGCAATGGCAATTGCCTTGGTAAAAATCTTGTGCCTAAGGGCTGGAGGATATCCAAATATATGGTGGTCACTCTATATCTTCTGGTGAGTTTTTAAAACAAAACAAAACAAAACAAAAAACCAACGTAGAGTAAGAGGTGGATAATTCCAAAGCCAAGTATAAACTGAAGTGCCACTCAGGAGCTAAGGCTGCATTTTGTAAGGCCGCACTCAGCACAGGAAATTAATAGGCCAAATAAAATAACTTAAGATATTAGACTGTGATCTAATGAGAACAGAGACTAAGTGTGTAGTACAAACTATGCACTTTTGGCTCCTGGCTCTGTGTATTTCCTTCTTTTTTTCACTAGAGCAGAAATGTCTGCTCATTTTCCTTTAAAGGCAGGCAGATTGAAAAGTCTGTGGCTAAAGCATTTAGTTCTGAATTCTAGTTATTCTATAAATTATACCTAACGCTCCCTTACCTTCTCACGCTTTACCCATGCCTCTACACTGCCTCTTACTTATGTTTTCACCATAGCACTTATTACCATCTATAGGCAGAGATATATGTATCTCTCTCCACAAATATATAAGTACTAAAATTGTGCTAATCATTACCAAAGAGAACAATGAGGTTACTGGAGCATGAGTTCTCTCTCTCTTCCACTAGGAAGTAGGCAGCTCCTTATTTTCCTCACTGCCATATCCCCTGTACCTAGATAAGCACCCATCATTACACTATTATTTATTGAATAAATATATGAACGAACAAAGCAAGCTTGTGAATAGATGTGGGATTGTGGCAGACACAGTTAAGTTTATGGTTGACTAAGCTCTAATTGGGTCACTGATGAGAATTGAGACGTTTGTATATCATAGTGGTACCAGAGGACTATTAGTTCTTGCCCTGCTGTGTGCAAGGAAAGCTGTCGTGCTGACATCTGGTCATATCAGATCAACCTCTTACTCCAAGACAGTTATCCATTGACTGCAAAGTCTTTTAGCAGATGGCTTGTCTCGGAGCATTGCCTACCATAGATGCCACATGCAAGATGTCGACTGTGGCCGACCTTGTTCACTACCTGACGGCTGATAACCTTTCTCAATATCCTTCTGCCTTGCTGCCTTACCATGATAGAGGCTGTCAAAGTTCAGTACTCACTTTCCCAACCTTCCTGGCAGCTACATGTCATCATATGACACATTTCTGGTCAATAAGACACAAGCAGAAGTGTGTGTGTGTGTGTGTGTGTGTGTGTGTGTGTGTGTGTGAGAGAGAGAGAGAGAGAGAGCATGTGATAGATGCCTCAGGAGAACTTGCGAGCCTTGCCCCTCCCCCGATCTTCCTGCCTTCTATGTAGACACATGATAACAGCAGTCACCTTGCCACCATGAGGCAACATGATCGAAGAAGCCAACAGCTAAAAATGGAAGACTAGAAAGATAGAAAGCTTGAGGAGTCGATGTAAGCATTGAGCAGCTGAACTGATATCTGCAACCGCCTACCTCTGGATGCTTGTTACAGGAGAAAATTAAAGCGCTATTGGTTTAAGCTACTGCCAGTTTGGTTTTCTGTTAATTGACCTGAGATTTTTTCCTCACTCTCTGTCAGGCCAACCTGAATCTCTTTTGAGACATCTGGAATGTACATCACAATGGCAGGGAGAATGGCTGGGCTAAGGAGAAATAAAAAAAATTACAAAAAGC